ATGATTCAGAACCCTGCCTCATCTTCCTCAGTCCATACGGTCACATCGACCAAATCGCATCCTATTACACGACCCAAACAAGTGTCCAAGGCGAGATCTCCGCCATCTCCTTGTCGGCACTGTGGCGCGTGGCATTTCCACCGGGATTGCACTTTCCGCCAGCATTGCTGCCAAAGCTGTAATCAGGTGGGACACCGTGATGGGTTCTGCAAATCAGTACCAGCTTCTGGAGGCAAGCCACCCCCCGCCACTCCTAATTCCAGGCAACGTTTCCGGCCAAAATGCAAGCCAAAACCCCAGTCCGTGGGTAATTCTCTCAGTCTCTTGGCCGCTTTCCAGCTCAATGCGTCTGGTCGCAGAAAGTTTGTTAACGTTTTGCTCAATGGCCATGCAGTTCGCCTACAGTTGGACACTGCCTCCGATATCACCATCATCTCTGAGAGACTCTGGCAGTCCCTTGGCAGCCCCACGATTCAGCAGACTTCCCAATCCGCCACAAGCGCGTGCGGTGGTCTCGTACAGCTAACTGGGCAACTGCAATGCTGTGTGTCATTCCGCGGTACCAGCATCACTGCGATCTGCTACATCACCAAGTCTGATCTCAACCTACTTGGCCTCGACTGGATTGAACAACTTGGGTTGGCCGATATGCCGCTCCGCGTTGTTTGCAGTCAGGTGCAGATTCCCGCTGTGCTTGCAGACCAAGCCAAGGACATTCTCCAACGGTTTGCTCCAGTGTTCCAAGACGGCCTGGGTTGTTGCACATACACTCAAGCCGTGCTACATCTGTCTCCTGGAAGTCAACCAGTCTTCCGTCCAAAGCGACCAGTCCCATATGCAGCCCTACCACTTGTCGAGGCTGAACTGAAACGTCTAGAGGAACTGGGAGTTCTGGTTCCTGTATCCTACTCCGCCTGGGCCGCTCCAATCGTTGTGGTTAAGAAGCCCAATGGCTCAGTCCGCATTTGTGCTGACTTCTCCACCGGTCTCAATGCCGCGCTGACGCCGAACTGCTATCCATTACCGGTTCCGGCTGATCTTTTCACCCTGCTAAATGGTGGCACTTGCTTTGCCAAGTTGGATCTCGCTGATGCGTATCTGCAGATCGAGGTCGCCCCAGAGTCGCGCGAATTGTTGACCATCAACACCCACCGCGGTCTGTTCCAATACACCAGGCTGCCGTTTGGTGTCAAGACCGCCCCGGCCCTATTCCAACAAACGATGAACGCAATGCTCTCCGGCATCCCTGGCACGGCTGTGTACCTGGACGACATCATCATCGTGGGTCGCTCCCCTGCCGAGCTGCAAGACCGAGTGTGCGCAGTACTCGAACGCGTGCAGGAATATGGCTTCCGCCTACGGGCCGACAAGTGCCAATTCTTCCTCGACTCCATCAAGTACCTCGGATTCGTTTTTGACGTCAGTGGTCGCCATCCAGATCCTGAAAACATTCGGGCCATCCAACGGATGCCTGCCCCCAAGAATGTATCGCAACTTCGTTCGTTTCTTGGCCTGATCAGCTACTATAGCGCTTTCCTACCATCGCAGCATGACGTACGGGCCCCGCTCAACCGTCTGTTGCAGAAGGATGCTCCCTGGTGCTGGTCCCCCGACTGTGAAAAGGCCTTCGCCCAGCTAAAGTCGATGCTGAGTTCAGATCTGCTGCTCACGCACTACGACCCGACGCTGCCGATCGTTGTTGCTGCAGATGCTTCCAACCACGGAGTTGGTGCCGTCATCTCACACACTTTTCCTGATGGGTCTGAAAAGGCGATCATGCATGCATCTCGCACGCTAACCCCTGCGGAGAAGAACTACGGGCAAATAGAGAAAGAAGCTCTAGCCCTCGTGTTTGCCGTCAAGAAATTTCACAAACTGTTGTACGGTCGCCACTTCACGTTGTTGACTGATCACAAACCATTGCTGTCAATCTTCGGTTCGAAGAAGGGCATTCCCGTCTACTCAGCCAGCCGACTTCAGCGATGGGCAACCATCCTTCTTGGCTACGATTTCGACATTCGCTACTGTCGCACTACAGACTTTGGTCAGGCTGACGCCCTTTCTCGCCTCATCAGCAATCAGCAGGAACCGGAGGAAGATACCGTGATTGTCGCTATTTCGATTGAGGACGATGTGCGCCGTCAGCTATCAGACGCCATACGAGGTATCCCTGTCACTGCCGCGGACATCCGGCATGCTACTGAACAGGATCCTGTCCTCCGTCAGGCCATCACCTACGTGCAGACCTGCTGGCCAACCACTGCTCTCGCTGGCGATCTTCGTCAGCTCTTCCTCCGCCGAGCATCGCTATCTGTGGTTGACTCCTGCCTCATGTTTGCGGACCGTGTGGTGATCCCATCTTCCCTTCGGCCCACTGTACTACGCCAGTTCCATGCGGCTCATCCTGGTACCAGCCGGATGAAGTCTATTGCTCGCAGTTTTGCCTACTGGCCGAGTATCGACGGCGACATCGACGACCTGGTTCGACGCTGTTCTCGATGTCAGCAAGCTGCCAAGATGCCGCCTCGTCAACCGCCAGTACCCTGGGAACCACCAGAGAGGCCTTGGTCACGCGTGCACATCGACTTCGCTGGCCCACTTAACGGAGTCTCCTACCTAATCTTGGTTGACGCCTACTCGAAATGGCCCGAGATTGCTCCACTGAATCCAGCGACCGCATCTGCCACCATCGCCTTCCTACGACGCATCTTTAGCCAACATGGCTTACCGGAAGTTCTGGTTTCAGACAATGGCTCTCAGTTTACTTCGTCGACATTTGAGGATTTCTGCCGCCAGCACAACATCCAGCACCTTCGCTCCCCGCCCTACCATCCACAGTCTAACGGTCAGACTGAGCGTTTTGTCGACACGTTTAAGAGAGCCCTCTTGAAAGCTCGTGGGGAGGGGACCACGGACGAGATAGTCCAGGCATTCCTGTTTTCCTACAGGACAACACCGAACCCGGCGTCCCCTGGTGGCGTTTCTCCTGCCGAAGCGTTGATGGGCCGAAAACTGCGTACAACGTTTCATGCCCTCGTCCCTACCGGTGCTCAGCCCGCGCAGACTTCTCCAGTTTCTCGCAGCAAGCTCTCCATCGGAACACCTGTCTTCGTTCGTGATTATCGAGCGGGGTTCCCAGACTGGATTGAAGCAACCGTAGTATCGCACAGAGGCAGTATGTTGTTTGACGTCGACGTTGGTGATGACATCTGGGTTCGCCACCACAACCAGATCCGACGGCGACATTGCAGTAACACAACTGGGCTCGATTCGGCGCCGTCACTCTCTCTTGACATCCTACTGGATACCTTCGCCATTCCGGCAGATCGGTCCGTCCCCGAGCCCACTGCTGCGCCTCCTTCGGATGCATCGCCTTCGGTATCAGTCACTGCCCCCGGGTCTCCAGACAACAAACCACAACTAAGACGCCGGACCAACCGCGTGCGCCGGTCAACACGGCTGATGCAGGTCAACCCACGCCAGAAGCGGTACTGACCTACTTGGAGGGGAGGTGTTGGGAGTGCCTACACTCCCAAAAACAAGAGCAAACCAATCAATGGAGATCACGTGCGTTTGCTCTCTCTCTACAGCGCTGTCATCTCAATCAGGCGCTTTCCCATTGGCTACTCCCCTCTTCCCGAAGGTCATTGGACCGAATGCCGGCGAACCACGCTAGCGTGTGATAAATATGCGTCACCCTTTGCTAGACGTGACTTGCAGTGTGTTCCTAATACACTTTCTGTGGTCAGCCGTGTGTTCTTGTCTACTGCCTTGATATTGGGGACCAGGGTCGAACGCATACACGCTCCAGGGGATTTCACGTACCAGGCGGGTCATAACAACAACGAACATGTCTGCAAATCATTGACTACCACGACTACAACTACAGCTTCATCTTCTCCTCGTAATCTTCCTCATCCTCCTGTTGAATTTGCACACCACACAAGCAACTGTCAGAGAGAGGATTTGGCCAGATGGCCTAAAAGAGGTAACCCTCCAGAGAGGGGACGAGGATGACGAGCAATATGACCTCGAGGACGTGGAAGAGAAGGAAGAGGAAGAAGTAGAAGAAGCAGTGGATGAGCCAGTGCCTGCAGCAAATCCACTCACGGCTGCCGGCTGGTGGAGACGAGTTCGTGAACGCATCAGTAGAGCCCTACGAGGACGCCTACCCAGAGTTATACGTCGTCGTCCTCCGCCACCTAGACCTTAATCCATCTTCACTGTGCCCTTTTAATTTTCTATCGACCGAATTGTGAATATACTACCTATGCTACTTCAGATCGCGCCTTTTCAATTATAGCTTTCTTCTTGTCCCATGATCTCCTGCCTCCAGTCTTTGTATTCCAACACATGTCCATGCTTTGGCGGTAGCTATCGCAGAATCAAAATGATTATCCGCAATTTTCCTAAGCTAATTTCTCATCATCTGTCCAGTATATATAAACTTCAAATTGTGGCATTCGAAAGTCCATTGCAAGCAGGTTCCCATTCGCAGTCAAAAGTGGTAGTGGGAAGGCCAGAGAGTAGTCTGTTCGATTTGGTGTTAAAACTTGCAGAAAGAACCCCCGAATTCGTAGTTGGGTTTGATGTAGCCGGCTTCTGACTTATCACCCACTGAGATTCAGTATTGACAACGGAGATGCCGGAGTCTGTCGTGTATGACTCATCTGTAACACATGCATGCCGTGCTTCGGACAGTACATATCGCTGGTCGCGATCGGAAATGCGCCTTGGGGCTTTCTCTAGCGCCCAGCCAGCGGCGCGCAATATAGGCAGAATAACGTTACCGACAAAGACAAGGTGGACTGAGATAGCCATTTCTAATAGAAGCGAAGAGACGAGTCCCAGGAAGTAGTCTTGAAGAAGGAGACACGATCGCTGGGACAAAAGCTGAGAATCGTCTTGGAAACGCCCAAGTCCTCCAGCTCCTTCAGCTCTGTCTCAGGACGTACTTCACGTTCGAAGGGACAATCTACGAACAGGTGAAGGGCACACCAATGGGTTCGCCGATTTCGGGATTCATCGCCGAGGCGGTCCTGCAACGGTTAGAGTCGCTGATCTTCCAACACCACAAACCGGAGTTCTGGGCCCGGTATGTGGATGATACCTTCGTCGTTATCGATCGGGATCAACCGCTGACATTCAAGGAACGTCTGAATGCGGTCGTCCCGGACATACAATTTACGATGGTGGAGGAAGAGAACAACCAGCTGGCCTTCCTGGATGTCCTCGTATGCCGCAAAGATTGTGGTGGTCTAAAGACCAAAGTGTTCAGGAAAGCGATAAATACGATGCAAGTACTGAACTTCAACAGCAACCACCCAATCAGCCACAAACGCAGTCGTGTAAGGACGCTCTATCGGCGTGTCGAAACGTTCTGCAGTGAGCCGGAAAACAAAATTGCCGAACTACAATAACTCCGACGTGTATTCAAAGCCAATGGCTACCCGCGCAACTTCGTCAACCGGTGCATACGCAAAAGGGACGAAAAGCCTAACCGCACGGACACCAAATCTTGGCGGGCGCTTCCGTTTGTCAAGGACGTTTTGGAAGCTGTCGGCCGCCTTCTCGCACCACGTGGGGTTGGAGTTGCACACAGACCGCAGACAACCATCAGGCGTCAGGTAATGAAGGCGAAATACCTGCTGCCACGGCTGAAACTTCTGGAGTCGTTTAGTGGATCTGTTGCAGTTGCAGACAAAGCAACTACGTCGAAGAAACTGGAAGACAGCTCCGAACGCGAATGGTCAAACACCCTGCAGCAGTGCGGAGAAATGACGCCAGCTCTCTTGCTGTCGTTCATTCGACGAGATCCGACCACACATTCAAATTCGACGAGGCCGAAATTCTCGCTAGATTTGACAAACGTGTGGTTCGCGAGCGCTTGAGTCATGATTCACTGGCCCTCAGTATATTAGCAAGTGCATCGATTTTCCCCTTCTTTACTCGGTGCTGAGACTTTGCCTAGACGGGATAATTAGCCACGCTGGAAACGCACAGGTGAACATCGTTCCCAACGTCAGGGTCGGTGCGTCAGTTGGTTAAGCAATGATCACACCAACATCCAACACACCGGCTGAAATTGCAACAATTAACGACGCGAATGTCGGCCATTAAA